GGGGGGCGGTGGGTACATTTTATTTTAATGGATATGCGTATTCTCTTACTCAGTTACTATTTTCCAGTAATCATGCTTGAAACTTCTTTTTTAGAAGGGCCATTACCCAATGTTAGTCCCTTGTATCTGAGATCTTGGGAGGGGCAGATTGGATATGGATCTAGCCTTCGGCATTTTTTGCATGAAGTGCCCATGCTCAGATTCAAACCCACACTCTCGTCTGTCAGCCAAAGATTTTACCAGAAAGTACATAAATGGTTCTTGCCTTTATTTTCTAGTATCATTTTTCTTTAATGTGCAATGAAATAGTTGTCTTCTTACTTATTCTTCATCCTATAGACATGGTGGTGCCCATGAATCAAGACACTAAGGCTCAGTTTGGAAGGAGTACAAATACAAATATGTACAGTACAAATCCATACAAAATAATATAAAATACATAGTTTTGCACTCTACAAATTTGTATTTGTACTCCTTCCAAACTGAGCCTAAAAGAAAAGGTTGGGGCCTTCAAAAAAGAAAAAAAGAAAAAGTTGGGAATGTCTTTTCATTGGTCTGACCTTGTTTTTAGGGCAAAGTAAACCAATAAGTGCACAAACTCATGGTTTAGAAGCATTTTCTTATTTTTAAATTTCTTTTTCCTTTCTTGATGACTGTATCTTTCCTTCTTGGAGATGCATTGACCGTGTTAAATAATATGTGTATCTAGTGTGAAAGCCACTGAGAGGATTACTGTTTTGAACAATCAATCAACTTACCATGAAAAGAAGTATAATGACACATCCCTCTTTCTGTGGAGTGTCATATAAGCAGTCCTCCCTTCCCCATCTTTCTTATGGGGAAAAAAATGTTCAATAGTTGTAAATTTGTGATTTCTCAAATTTCTGTAGTATATCTGACACAATTTGCAGCTCCTTTATGGAGTAGCTCCTGTAATCCTGGTCTGTGTGCTAACCTTCATGCACTCCTATAGCCAACTACTGCCATTGTCAATGCTATCACCCATGCTTCTGCCTGAGGAGTGCTCCTGTTAGGATGAGAAAGTGAGCGTATGCTTTTGCTTTAAATATGGCAGACATTCCAATGTTGGGTTGGTGTTCAGGTAAACCACTCAATTGGTCTTGTTTCAGAGAATTTCTAGGTCAAGAAATGGATGCTCTTTAGCGATATAGATATTTCTAGACCACTTGCCCTGTTTTTCTGAGTCTCTGATTGTGTCATTGAGTTCCATGGATCTAACAGTGAGAGTCATCAAATTTTCAACCTCAGATTGCGAGAAAAAATGATCTAAATAGAAGAAAAAAGGTTTTAGAACTGTATGTCCATTGAAATCATATCGTTAGAAGTCCCTTTTTTATTGGTTGAAGGCTTGAAGCCTGTGTTATCAGTTATGTGGATATTCCCAGATTTTCTGAAGCATTTTACTAATAACTTTTCTAGTTAGTTTTATTTTGTGATAAGCATTATTTTATGTATATGCCATAAGTTTTCATACTGCCTCACTTCCCTGTCATTCTATTGTCAGACTGGAAAGAAGTGAATATACTTTCCATGGGTCTTCAATGAAGCTTGAAAATGTGACTGTTGTACCCCTAAAGAGGTATGCTTCACTTGAGACATGTACCATTTGCATTTTATTTCTTGTTGCATTCATCTGAAATTGAGAATATAATTATGGATTTTAATTATGAAATGGCCTATATGTTCTTTACTTGTGGTAATTACAATAATAGTCAGTTGCTATTAATGGTGTTGAAAACAGCATTGATGTTAGGTTTCCTAATTTCTAGATTTTTCTCAGAAATCTCCTTCACATCTAATTGAATCTTAGAACTGGATTTGATAGCAGGCAGTTCCATGGGATATGTGCCAATATCTAATCTTGAAACGTGAAAGAAGTTCTGTGCTTCTAATTATAGCATATTATTACTTTATTATGACAAAGGAAGGATTGGATAAATATGGGATCCAAGGAGGGTACTTTCTGAGGAAGTTAACTTTAATTTCTTTTCCTTTTCTGGGAGGGAGAAAGCTAGCTTTCCCTTTTAAATGAAGTTTTTATAATTAGCTTTTTACTGGGTTCACTTCACAAAATTTTAAGCACTCATAACTTTGTAATTCTTCTCTGCGGTCTATATACACATTTCATTGATCTACTTTGCCGTCTAGAGTTTGAATGTGGCTCAGCAATTCATTAATTTAGCCTGTTCAATCAGTTGGCCTCTTGACTTTGGAAGAGCCAAAAATGAGGATTCCTGTAGTTACAGTAGATTGCTTGGTTTTGAACTGTTATCCTTGATTTGTCTCAACTTTTGGGTTATGTCCACCTGAAATTGTTGTGTTGAATGACTCACAAGTTGTCATATGTGTAGTTATTGATTGATTAGTTGATTTAATTTGAAAATTTCCACAACTTATTATTTTTTTGTACTTGAATTAGGTTTTGGTCGTTATTGAGATCATCTCTAGTTTTTGTTCTATTTCCTTGTTATTTCTGACTCTCTTAATTGGTCCCAGTCCTGAGAAAATCAAACGGAAGCTGTCACCAAAGAAAAAACAAGGTAGAAAGATCGGGAGAGAAAGGGATCTCTACAGGAGAAACAATTTCTATGCATGTGAGAGCCTTCTATCCCTTATCCTAAACAAAAGGGGGAAGATGATAATCCAGTCACTGAAGAAATCTGGCCCTGAATTACCTCAACTTCTGAACCAATTTTCTGCTGGAATTGCTGGGACTGGTCTTGCTGTTCTCTTGTCTGTTTTCTGTAAGGTTGTTGGAGGAAGAGTTCCCTTCTGTGCATCCAAGCTCTTGAACACTGGGCTTGGTTTTGGATTGGTTTGGCTTTCTTGGGGAGTGAACACACTGAGAGACACTATCATCTGTATCAGTAAAAATTCAAACAAGTTGGGGTTGAAGGAGGAGGAGATGATTAAGAGAATGGACAGGAATATGAATGAAATTTTCTTCAGGGCTGCAACTTTAATGGCTATGGCAGTGCTAAGGCTTGCATGAACAATGATGGTAAGAGAATAATTTGAAGGAAGATGAGATGCATTCATTATTTTTCCCCTTTCCTAACCTGAAGCGGGTTGGAAAGTTTAATCATTAATTAGTTGTGGTATATCTGACCAAGCTTAGTTTTTGTGGTAGCCTATTTTCGTTTTTATTGTTTTGAGCAGGCTGCTAATTGTTGAAGCTTCTGTAAATAACAGTTGAGCTAATTGTTTTGCTTAGGACCTAGTGTTTTTTTTTTTAAAGGATTTTTTTTTTTTTCTTGGCAAAAGAAGTAACCACTATAAACATCATGGGCACATTAACCCTAGTGTTTGTACTTGTACATTGTTTACCCGGCTCGTTAACAAAGTGGATGGTCGTCATAAATGGTGAGTCCCCTTTTATTTTTGTCCTTTTGTGATTATTCTCTTACCACCGATATGAAAGGGTCCATCTGTAGTGATCATACGTTTACCACAACTGCAACTTGGGTTGGATCAACCAGAACCTGGCCTGAAAATCCCAATAAAGGTAAAATGTTTTAGTGGTATTAGGATCAATTTAAGTATTCTTTTAACTTATATCATAACACTGCATTTCAAGCCAGACAAGACCCGACTAACCAGAACTACAGGTTGGGCTGGTTTGCTGTACGTCCAACTATTCTGCCCAAGCTGCACCCGCCTAGCTAAGACACGTCTGTTTTGATGTTCAAAATTCCAGTTCTTTAATTAAAAAATGCTTTCTAACAGAAGGAATCAATTTAGCCATGTGGCAAATCCACCCAATGTACAATTGGTGGAGAGAAAAAAATGTAGGAGCCTTTTAGGTTGTCTGTCATTCTTGATGTACGATTCTTGGATTATGTAAATCTCTCCTTTAAAATTATCTAGTTCACTCCTGCCTAGGGACGGTGATTTTCCCCCATTTCGCTGATCCCTGCAGGGATCCGTCCCATTTGAGGCAGGGATGGGACGGGGACGGGGACGGGGACGGGGACGGGGACGGGGAGTACTTTCCACCCCTCACTGGGATCCCTGCTTAGTAATATTTGAAATGAAATAGAAATAAAAAATTAGAATGAAATAGAAATAAAAAAATAAAATTAAGTTGACAAAAAATAGTGATGGGGAATGGGGACCGCTGGGGACGGAGATGGGGAAAATCAACGGGGGCAGGGACGGGGATGAGGAGTAGCTTTCCATCTCCACCACACCCCGTTGCTCTTCCTTCTCTTGCCCTTTATGGGCCTGGTTTGTTTCAGTGCAATTTTACTTGTACTGATGAAAAAGCATGGGAGTGGAAATTAGTAATGTGCAAATTCTGGCTTATTTTTGTTTTGATTTTTACTGCATTTTATTTTTCTTTTTGTGGTGCAGAAGAAATAAAATAAAAACTCACGCAATGCAAAGTTGAACACTCCCATGCATTTGTACAAGTAAAATTGCATTGCAAACAAGTGGAGCCTTAGGTTTAGTTTGAAAAGAGTATAAATATATACAAAATAACACAAAATATAAGTTTTTGAACTCTACAAATTTGTATTTGTACTCCTTCCAAACTGATTCTTATATTTTGTATTATTTTGGAAGGAGTACAAATACAAATTTGTAGAGCGCAAAACCTTATATTTTGTATGTATTTACACTGTACATATTTGTATTCGTACCCTTACTAAACTGAGCCTTATACTTTGGAAGGAGTACAAATACAAATTTATAGAGCACAAAACCATATATTTTGTATATATTTGCATTGTACATATTTATATTCATACTCTTACCAAACTGAGTCTTAGTTATTGACTCTGAAAGCAATAGATTCAAATCCAACTTTAGGAATTCCCATTCCAAAAGTCATCCTGGTTGTACTGATCAGCATTTTGTAGATACATTAACTTATGACTTGATGGGATATGAACCCTATCATTGACTTAAGGATTGAATAAACTAATAAAACACGTATGGGGTGTTTGACAACATGATTGGTTTGTTTTTGAAAATAAAAACAATTGCTACATCAGCAAAAACAATATAATTTTAATAGTATTGCAGTTGTTTTTATTTCCAAAAAGCAAAACCAACCATGCTGCCAAACACCCCCTTAATTTTTTTTCTTTTTAATTTATCTTTTTGCTGAATATGTTAGTCATGAAACTGAATACATGCATCTGGATCGTCTCCACAGAAGTATATGATGAGTTATAATGAGAAATGCACACTTGTCTAAACCATGGGCTATATTGTTGGATGAACAAGGTACATTTGAGCTCGATCTTCTACGCACAGGCTATTCACAAGACACTACAACCACCCATTAATTCGAAACATTTTGCATATATCATCATTTATGATCTGTCACTGTAGGGTATTGTGCATAGCATACCTAAACCCAGTACATATGAGACCAAGCACACATGCTAAGATGATCACTGCCTCATAAAAATGGTGTGGGAATAAACTTGCATAAGTACAAGTTTTTCCGTGATAAGGTGAGTAGAGTTGAAGCAAGGATTAAAATATTGATATAGTCATGCATTTAGATATGGATATATCAATAAAAAACATTTTTAAACATTTAAAATTTTACTTGGTTGAAACCTTTTAATTATTGTAAAATTAAAAAAAAAAATAAAAAGAATAAGAGTCAATACACACCGATGCCCAACTTTAGATATCAAGTATCAATATTTTAATCATTGACTTTTGTGAATCCTCCTGTCCTCACCCTTTAATCTCTTAGTATCTATAATTTCTAATTGTTAAATTGGTAAATTTTTTGAACTATCCTTATGGTTTAGTCAATTGACTAAGTATATTCTTACTGTTTGATTATTGTCTAATGTTATCCCTATTGTTTTTGATAATTGATGAACTCTACCCTTATTAATAGCATCTGTTAATATTCCTTCAAAACTGGTACACACTTTGATATATAATTTTTTTAAAATCCAATTCTACCCTTCRTCCCTCCTCCTCTTCTTCTTCTTCCTTTTAGTAGCAGCAAATCGAGCTGATTCGGCTTTAACCAGTGGCGGCAATATCCCCCCCCCCTTTTCTCTCTCTCTCTCTCTTATATTGATCAAAATCGTTGCCCTTGCTGCAACTTCCAGCAGAGTCGGTGATCTTCTTCCTCCACCCCTTCCCCTCTTCGTTTTCCCTCTCCACCTCCCTTGTATACAATCCCATCTTGAGATCTGAATATCTTTCATATCTCATATCCAGGTTCCTTGATTTGATCGTGCTCTTGAATCAATCCCATATCGGAGTGAACCAACAACCTTTTGTAGGTTGAAATCCATTGGGGTCCATCGCAACAATTGAACGGGCGGTAGATGTGGGCGAAGAATCACCAACTTACGTCGTAGCTACGAAAACCAGCTTTCCCAAAAGACTGAGAAAACTCAAAACTTGCTTGAAACAGGATTTTTCACTACTGACGCCTGATAGAACCCAACTAAACAACAAAGCCAACAAAAAAGCCTCTGGGAGTTCTTTTGCATATCTTGAATCGAGTTGCATCTCCTTTTCTGTAACTATGACTTTGTTCAAGCTCTCATTTCTTCACATCTTAAAAAGATAAACCCTCTAACCAATTAATAGGTCAAGAAATTGGAATTTAAGAAGGATGACCTATTGCTTTTGCATATCATATGAGTTAGCAATCCTCTCATCACTGACCCAGATTTCTTCAACTGATTGCAGAGGCTTATCTGGACCTGGGCGCGGAAGACTAGACTGAGGAAGACAAAGAAGTGGAGATCCCAATTTAACTTAAGGGCAAAAGGGGCATTTTGGTCCTTTAGTCAATGTTTTAACAATAAAGGTAATTTTCCAAAACAGTAGGAATAAAGTTAGACAATAGTCAAATAGTAGGGATGTACTTGGTCAATGATTCAATTAACTAAAACCATAAGAGTAGTTTAAGAAATTTATCCTTGGTTGCATGACAGTTGAAAATCACTACTTACTCTCTCTCTTGCTTCAATCACTCAAATTCTGCGAATCAAGTTTGGGCTTTTCATTGGATCAACTCAAATCTATAATATCTATAAAAGTGACAATAGGGGGTCTTGGCTTCTAGAATTTTGGTTGGACAAAGCTTACCCTTTTATTTGATAGTTTTTAAAGTGTAAATAAGAATAAAATAGGTATTTTATAACCTTAAACACTGGAATTAAATAATTACAATTATTCAACATGTATTAAATGGCAATTGAATTAATTGAACAGAAATTACGTTAAAACATTTTAAAAGTGATAAGGACAAAGACATATATTGTATAAATAAACCTTTTTTAATAATTTAAATTAATGATTGTAATTGCCCAAATTATAAATTGGTAACTGAAAATGTCCTAAGTTACTTAATACTCAGCTCTTCCCCATTAATCTAGGAAATAGGAACATGAAAAGGTTGGCTAGAAGTGGAAGAAAGCCCTCGTCCGTTGATTCAAATGATGGACTGGTCTACATATGTCTTGAATTAACCCTCTGTCCGTCCTTCCCTCATTTTAATTTGTTGATTTCAACCACTAATACCCATTCAACGGTCTATATTTTAATCAATGTAGACAGTGAACCTTGAGGTGCTCATGAATCTGGCTACATGTGATTATGATGCCGGCCGATTTTACACTTTTTTTAAGAAAACACCCAAGGGTAAAAATGGCATTTCAAGTTAGCTCCATCGTTCCATCGCTAAGGTCGTCTTGTCATTCTCCATGAAATAGTCCCCCTGAATTGGCCAATTCAGTTTTATTTCTAATAGGAGAATATACCTTAGAAGACACACTTTCCAAATCATCTTATATGCGTTACCTTAATATGAGATTTATCGCCCATTCATACCGCAAGTAAAGAAATATGATATCACCACAAGAAGGCCTAAACTAGCAGCTTGGATTGAGGTAAAAGAATTTAGGGGTGAGCAAAAAAATGAAAAATCAACTTACGAAAAAATCGATTGAAATCGAACCAAAAAATCAGTTAACTGAATCAGTCGGTTCGATGTTTTAAAAAAACTGATAGTTTCAGTTTGGTTTCGGTTAACCATGTAAAAAACCGTTGGTTAACCGAATCAACTGATATGTGTATATATATTAATATTATATATTATATGTTATTTTTTTTTTGAAAATCTAATAAAAAAGTTCGACAGTTTGAGAGTGTTCAGATTGCCGAACTGAGACTTTTTCAGTTTGCCAATCTGGATGCCACTCTCCCTTTCCCTTTCCTTCTCAATAGCCTGTTTGATAGACTGACACCCGCGCCTTTCCCTTTC